CATAAAGATTCTAACACGTTTTTTGTTGAACATGTGTATATTTCTGTTGGTTATACACCTCAGAGTCAATGACTGGGTCATAATGTCTCCACATAGGCAGCTTTAGTAGATTCTAAAATTGCAAACATTTTAAAGTTTGAAATTATGTATAGTTATGTGTGTTTAAACTCAAAACCAAGCTCACTGTTGTTGAGTCAATTCAACTTACAGCAGCCCCTCCTTGGGTTTCTGAGGCAGTATCCCTACAGGAGTAGATTGCCCAGTCTTCCTTCCGAGGAGTGGCTGGTGAGTTTGAACCGCCAGCCTTCAGGTTAGCAAGCAGTCAAATGCCTTAGACGCTACTCCACTCTCCTAAATAAAAGAAATAAGGCTCATCCTTAACATGAAGGGTGACTTTAACGAATGATTTCTTAATAAAACACTAGAACACAGCAAACTTTTTCTGTGAAGGGGCAGATGGTGAATAGCTCAGGCTTTTGGCGTCTGCTGCAGCTGTTGCACTCTGCCAGTGTAGCGTGAAGCAGCCATGGCCAGTATGGAAACATGAGCAGGGCTGTGTCCCGTACAACTTCATGGTAGACATTGGAACTTGAATTTCAAGTGTCACAAAACATCACATTGCTTTTTATTTATTTTCAACCATTTAGAAATGTTAAAACCATCCTTAGCTTATGGAGTTGTACAAATAGGGGGCCAAATGGGGTCTGTGAGCCATAATGCGGTGACCCCATGCTAGAACCCCTGCATCCAAATACTTTTTATCCTCTAAGTCACCTGCAGTGGCAGATTTATTTCAGCAGTGCTGCCATTACTAAAACCATCTTTGAATTTTTTGGAACATCCTTGGGAGCCAGCTTAATAGCCTTGGAAAGAAAACTAGTCTCATTATTTTTCAGTCATTCCTCATCTTTAACCAAAAATGTTATTATTCAATTTGATTACACATTTCACTCAACTGAAATAGCTCTGAATGACTTGACATTTCCAAAAAAGAAATTACTCCAAAAGGTAAAAATATGCTTCCACTGAAGACATGCAATAGTATGCTCAAGTTCTGAAGAAAATTCCAAAAGAGGAATCCCAAAAATGCTTTGAGCTCTGGCAGCATCCTTGGAGTAAAGGTGTGACTTGCCGAGGCAGCAGTCATTTGGATGTGTTAAATTCTAGTATGCCTTTAAAAAAAGAAATCCCATTTCATCAATCTCATATTGTTGTAAAAAGCCTGTGAAAAAAGATTTGTTAATTTGGAAGATCAGATGTAATAGATGTCTTTTCACTTCGATTCTGTAAAGTCCATTTTATTAGTGTTTACTGCTTTCTTAGCTATGTTTTTCTTAGGCAAGTGTTAATATTATAAATAATAATATTTAAAATTAATTATAATTAAATTATAATTAAAATATTCTTTAACAGAGACAGTGAAGATATAGCCTTGGTATATATGTCACCTGTGACTAAAGTCAACCTGGGATTGAAAGTTGACAAAAAAAATTACACATACATAATCAAAAGTTGTCATGATAAAATTTACAAGGTATTAAGTCTGAATTATCTCAGATACTCATTACATGGGAGCTCTGGTAGCCTAGTGCCTAAAGCATTTGACTGCTAACCAGAAGGCTTGCGGTTCCAACCCACCAGCCACTCCTTGGAAGAAAGAGTGGGCAATCTGCTTCTGTAGAGATACTGCCTCAGAAACCCAAGAAGGGGTTGCTATGACTTGAGGGTAGTGAGTTTGTTTTCTCCTACTCCTTAGGTATTTCCGTAATACTCTGTGTTTGACTCTGTTAGTAGTTACCATAGTGAAAACCTGCATTTGTATCCATGTGTTTGCTGTTTGGGACCCTGTCACCCTACGCACTCAGTGTTCATTGAACTAGAGTGCTCATCTCGAACCTTTGTCTTCTTCCTTTACCCCAGAAATTCTCCTGCGTAAATAGCAGGTAGACTTAGACATAGTCACTGCAGTTACTACTACATCCAGTAAAGCATTTGCATGGAGAACTTTACATAATAGATTATCCCAATCATCAAAATGAGTTTGGGGATTTATTGTGTGTGATTGGATTGTCTCTGTTGTATTTAGTATCTGTTATCCCTAAGTTTTCAGACTGGCATCACTGTTCCCCTTCCTTTGAAGAATTACAGTTATTCAAATGTAAAGAGCGCCATACAGTTCCACGCATGTCTTTCTCTTACATTTTGTTTATGTTTTTCTCCTGCTGTATACAGTCCACCGATTGATGACTTTGATGTATTTAAAGAATCCAAAGAGCAGAACTTCTTTGAGTCACAGGAATCGGTCATGACTTTATGTGCTTACCTGCAGGAGTCAATGAAAGCTGTTGAAGAGCTAGGTGAAGAGCAGCTGAAAGGGGAGTTTTTTAAATTTCTGCAGGTAAATACGATAACTATTGAGTACATTTGTTAGTTTAAATAGTTAAACTGGTACAGTTAACAACACGGATGTATATATTGACATTTAGGTTTTAATTGGTACTTTTAAAAATCATTGTAGTAGTAGTGTAATTTAAGAGGTGAAAATACACTTAATCTATAAAGGTGAGTTTTGAAAGCTCTGGCACCAGCTGGAAATGATCTTAGTTCCACTGCAGTCATGTGACGTGGTGGCTGTTGCTAAAGGAAGACTTCCTGCGGCCTGGCTGGACTTGGGCTTAAATCCGGGTTCTCTTGCTTATATGTGGTTGGACCTGAGGCAAGTTCTTTAATCTCTCTGAGCTTCAGTCTCCTCGTTTGTAAAATGAAGGAAATATTACTGATTTGAGATGTAAACTAGGTTCATGGATGAAAGCATTGAGCACAGGACCAGGAATAGTACCCACTGTAATGTTAACAAAAAAAAAACTAAACTCACTGCCGCTGAGTCGGTTTTGACTCATAGTGACCCTTCCTTGGGTTACTGAGGTGGTATCTCTATGGAAGTAGATTGCTTACTCTTCCTTCTGAGGAGTGGCTGGTGGGTTTGAACCGCCAGCCTTCTGATTAGCAGTCAAGTATCTTAGGCACTATGCTACCGGAGCTCCACATGCTAAGTATTGGGTGAGTCACTGCATACGTTAAATTCTCCCAATAATCCTCTGAGGTGAGTATTCTCACTAGTACATACTGTTTTTCAGTTCAGAACCTGTTCCTCAGAGATCTTAAGTAATTTGCCAGTGGTCATTAATTGGAGTTGCTGGGATTTGAACCCAGGTCTATGTGACTCCAGAGCCCGCAATCCTAAAAATAGCTTTATATATATATTTTCTTTCTTTCTTTTCTTTTCTTTTTTTTTCTTTTCTTTCTTTCTTTCTTTCTTTCTTTCTTCTTTCTTTTCTTTCTTTCTTTTCTTTCAACTTAAAGTAGGATGAAAGATTACTGGAGTTGGAAAGGTCCATAGACATCACCTTGTCCGGTTTCTTTATTTTGCAAGTGAGAGAACTACACTGCAGAAAGGTTGCCATGGCCTAAGCTTGCTCAACTGGAAAAGAAACTGGACAGTGGGAAAGGGGGTTAAGAGAAAAGGAACTGTTTTTCTTTTGACTTTGAATTATAAGGTAACCTTTGAGGGCTCTCTGTTCACAGAGTCTGATGATATTCTGATACCTGCAAAATGCACAACTTTGCATTGTAATTAAACAGTATGGATGCTATCAACGAATATATAGAGTTCATGGATATTTTATATTATATCAAGAGTTTAGTGGAAATAAGTTTTGTGAATGTTTTTAATAACCCCTCCACCGCCCACAGATAAAGTTTTTGTTGGTCATTCATAAGAGGGACGAATGTTTGTGCTTTTTCTTTTCCAGGTTTCTCTGTGGGGAAATAAGTGTGATCTCTCTCTGTCAGGTGGGGAAACTAGTTCTCAGAAGAACAATTTAATGAACTCTCTGCAAGATCTACAGCCTTTCGTTTTAGTCAATGACTCGGAACGTCTTTGGTCATTGCTTAGCAATTGCAAGAAAACGAGAGAAAAAGCATCTGTTAGAGTGGATATTGTTCTGGATAATGCTGGGTTTGAACTTATTACAGATTTAGTCTTAGCTGACTTCTTACTGTCGTCTAAACTGGCTACTGAGATCCATTTTTATGGAAAAATGATTCCATGGTTTGTGTCAGATACCACTATACATGATTTTAATTGGGTAATCAAGCAAGTGAAACATTCTAATCATAAGTGGACATCCAAGTGTGGGGTTGACTGGGCAAACTATATTAAGATGGGCAGGTGGGTCTACCACGACCATCTATTTTGGACTTTGCCTCATGAGTACTGGGCCATGCCTCAGGTTGCTCCTGACTTGTATGCAGAGCTACAGAAGGCAGATGTAATCTTATTCAAGGGCGATTTGAATTACAGGAAGTTGACGGGTGACAGGAAATGGGCGTTTACCATCCCCTTTCATCAAGTTTTGAACGGCTTCCACCCTGCCCCTCTCTGCAGCTTGAGAACTTTGAAAGCTGAAATTCAGGTTGGTCTACAGCCCGGGCAAGGTGAAGAGCTGACAGCCTCCGAGCCCAACTGGCTCACCACTGGGAAGTATGGGATCTTCCAGTTTGATGGTCCACTTTGAGTGGGTTTCGGGACGCTCAGTTGTGTAGAGAGTTCTATCAGCGCTTTTCATCTGCAGACAAGCAGTGTTTGGGTTTACCCACTGGGTGGCTCTGCCAGCTCTGGGAAACCAGGTTCTCGGGGCTCAGTCCATACACACTGGATGGTATGTTCTTTGACCATTTTGCCCCCTCTGTTGTTTTGGGGATCCATCGCTGAAGTTAGTTACAGATACTTACATTTATGTTGGAGCATTAGTAACTTATTTCAAGATCAATGTATAATTCCAAATGGTTTTCATGAGCATATTTTTAATTGGGTAAAAAACAGAATATGAGCTTTCAAAGTTATTTAACCTTTTTTTTTTTAAATACTGTACTGCATGATATTTAATATTCTAAGAAGCATGGAATTTTATTTGACTTAAATTGGGGGCTGCTGAAATAAAGATTCCATGACAGTATGCATGGTAATGACTCTTTACAAAGAGAAGCATTTCTTACAACTGTGATGCTTGAACCCATGAAACTAAAACTTACCTCATAAATTAATTCTAACTTTGGTTCTTCTTGACTTTTATTTCATTTGAAAGAGTAGCTGTTTTATGTGCACACATTTGTGTTATGTGTGACCTGTGGAACGGGTGGCTGTCGTCAGGTGCCATTGGATGGATGGTAGGAAACACGAAATTGAAAATGGAGCGGATAGTACTGAAAGAAATGGATTAATTTTTGTGTTCTATTTATGATACCCAGGTTCAATGGAAATACCTTACTTTACCACACCAAGTGTCGCAAATGAACAGACTTTTAGTTTGCACTACAATTTTAAGAAGAGATTTTGTGCTTGAATTTGGTACTACCAACAAATGAATGAATGAATGAATGAATGAATTTTTTATATTCTTACACATTTACTCATGATAGTGCACCATAGCTATAAAAGACTATACATTTTAGGTCAGTTTATTTTGAAGCTACATTTGGAAATGGACCTAGAAATATTTTCTTGTACTGGAATAATAAAATGAATTGTACCGAAAACCTTGGTTTTCTTTTCCAGTGGTGCAATGACAAGAATGGAGGATTTAAAATGAGGTCTGTAAGAGTTTAAAATGAAACTTTATTAATAAACTTACAGATGTTGCCAAAAGCAGTTTTTAATACCATTTATAAATGAGTTTATAGTCTTTGCTTTTGCTAAGTGTTTAAATTTGCTAAGTGTTTAAATTTTGTTTGTTTGGTAAAACATTTATATAAAGGTATTTTGAATTTACTGTGCAGCTCTTTACATGAGTTCCTATTGTAAACATTACGTTATTAAACTGTCAGCATGTTGGAATTATTTGAAGACACTTGGTGTTGTTCACAGCACAGTTGTGTATTTGTATTGACTTTACAGCCACAGTGTGAGTGAGTGTGCAGTATCTCACATTTTTCCAAAGCACTGGCTATTTTTCTATTTTTTCCACGTAGTTTATTTTTATTAAGAATGTGAAAATACGGTGTATGAAGAAGGGGTTTACTCCTTCCTCCCCTCTCCAGCCCACCTCTGCAAGAAAGAGCAAGGAAGCAAACTGGAGGAAGGAAGAAGGAAAAGGAAGGGGCTGTGGGAAGAGAAGCTCATTCAAGGTGGGTTTTTTAAAAGTAGTAACCTTCGAAGTGCAGATGATACAGTCTTGCTCGCTGAAAGTGAAGATGGCTTGAAGCACTTACTGATGAAGATCAAAGACTATGGTCTGCAGTATGGATTATACCTCAATAGAAGGAAAACAAAAGTCCTCATACCTGGATGAAAAAGCAGCATCACAATAAGTGGAGAAAAGATTGAAGTTTTCAAAGATTTCATTTTACTTGGATCCATAACCAACACCCATGGAAGCAGCAGTCAGGAAATCAGACATCTTATTGCCTGGGCAAATCTGCT